TCGGCCAACTAGAGCAACTTTTAAAAAGGTAAAAACTGAGAAAAATGGCAAAAAAGAAATAGATAAAGTACCAAAACTTTGAAATCAAAACCAAATATTTTATTTAATCTATGAGGAGCAATATATCAAAATCAAAATAAAAAGATAAAAAATAAAATTTTTTTTGGGAAGAAGATGATGTAAAAAATAACATAAAAAACCAAAAATCAATATTAGAGATTTGTGATTTTGATTGATAAAATGGCTTTAGTACATCAATATGATAAGAACATTCTGGAATAAATTTGAACTAATTTGGTGAAAAAAATATGTGAGAAATTGAAAGTTTTCTAGTTCATGTCAAAAGCTTGAGAAGTTTCAATCTAGATTTCTTCAACTACAGAACTTAATCCAACAAATTATAATTTGGGTATGTTAGAGGGATCTAAAAGTATATTTTCAAATAAATTTCAAAAACAATGGTTGACAATCCAAGGAGAAATCGATAAAAAGGTGAATTTGGCTTTTAAAAAGTCAAGAAAAATAACCTAACTTTGATCTTTAGATCTTTAGATCCCACAAATTTTTGGTTTGCTTGAAAATTTTTATTTAGGGTTATTGTAAATCAACAAGATAGGAACAAATTGAGACAAATTTGAAAGAGTTTAATGAAGAAACAAGAAAAAAATTCATGTGTTTTTTTGTTCTGCATGTATAAAAAAATGAAAAGAAAAGAAAAGAAACATACTTCCAAGTCAAAATGACTTGGTAATATAATTCAAATATTATCGGCTGTGAAAAACTAATCGGTTATCACAAAATTGTCCTATAATAATATTTGTCATATTTTTTTTTTTTGGAAATAGTTTGATAGTGTTGCAGCCCTATCAAAATAAGTAAAGCATCACCTCATAACTCATCAAATATTGTAATTCAAGTGTTGAAAAACCTTTAAATGGATCATCTCAGCTTGAACATTATGGTTTTGTAAAAAAAAAGAAATATTTCAAATCTAAAAATAATATATATTGCAACAAATCATTTAGACCACCCATTCTACTCTAAAAAATAAGTGTTCACAAATCCACAAGATTTGTACTACTTTAGAGCTATCATGAAGATTTCTGATGCCGAAAGTGGATGAGGATTTGAGGTGAGGCTCTATTTGTTTTTCATAAAGGCTAGGCCCTATAGAAACTCCGTCTTTTATTTTTTGGGATTGTATACAAGGAGATTATTTACTTTTAGTATAAGGAGGTTACAATTACATATAGTCATCCGATGTGAAATCTGATAGCTTGGGTTTGTCATAAAGTTCAAGAAGATTTAATTTGAACTTGGTCAATAAAACAAATGCAATCACCCAATTTCATATCCAATAGTCAAGATCAATTGTGACCATCTTGTACCAAAGGCTAATAGTCTCATTGTATACTTTTCCTTATTTTATTTTTATAAAAATATAAAAATCCCAAGCGATTTCATGTTTATGTAGGGGCATCTCATCTATTTACTCCCCATAATATAAAAAACTATCGCAAGATTTAAGTTTTGGAGAGGTAACAGTTTCAATTCATTTACTAACCATAATTAAAAATATCTAAGTAGTCTCTATACACTTAAAAAGAAAAATAATGTCTCCAGAATTAACAAAGACAATCCAACTTTTATGGAGTGAGATCCAAGTATTAAGAAACTTAAAATTCAAATTTTCTCTGTTGAAAATGATCATCCAATGAATTTCAGGTGGATCCTAGATTTTCAGACATTAAAAATAGAATAAAAAAAAACCCTCCGAAATTGATCATATGGCTGAGGGAGTAGATGTATAATATTGCTCCCATGAGAGCATAGCATATATGCCCATTTTAAAAAAGGTGTGTTTGTATAGAGCTTAGGCTCTAAACAATCAAATTAGAGCATACCTTCAAATAATGTCGAGAAATGTGGTTTTAAAACTGGAAATCTTTGTTATGGTCTTAAAATATATTTTCATCTGTATTTATAAAGTTTAAAGCTTAAAAAATAGTGTAATTTTTAAGATCGATATATCTATGAGAACTTGAAAATCGACAGTCCAAAAATTCATTACATAATATACTATTTACAAAACTTGAAATCTATTTTTTTTATCATGTCTCTGCATTTTGATGTCGAGATGATCAATTTGAGGATATTTGAGCATAAAGCAACCTATTCTAGTGAAATTTTTTAGGTAGGCTCTAATTTGATTGTTTAGAACCTCAACTATGTATAAACTTTTCCCTTTAAAAAAAATTAACCGCGATCTATATAGACTAGTAATATGCACGTGTGTTGCACATGATATTTAATATTAATCATTGAAAATTTTCAATAAAACATGATCTTAGAGAGAAAATTTAATGCATTTATCTTCACAATTGAATATTTTACTAATTAATAATAAATGTGGTAGTAAATATTATTTTCAATATATTATTAATTAATACAAATTCATTTGACATACAATTAAAATAATAAATTTAAAGTATATAGATAAAACTAATAACTATTTTTATACAGGGTCTTACTAATACTAACATCCAATATATTAGTTTAAGACATTAGATCCTCTTAATGTCTATATCTATTATATTAGTCCATTGAGGCATATTCAATAAGCATTAACCTTATTATAAACAAACAATGATTAGAATTTATATATATTGATCAATACCTAATTTCAAGAATAAGATAGGGGAGGAAGATTTAGGGGTGTGAGGTAAGATTAACACATATTTCTTTCTTAACCCACATGTTACCCAATAAAAATAGACATGGGAAATAGTAACTTCAGTGAGGGGTAAATTATAAATAAAAATATATACCTTTCTTTTTGGGTTGAGGGCTTTTTGTTGCACATGGGAAATGATGATTTGAATGTGACAGAGATAAATTATGTTTAATAAAAAAAAGCATTCTTATTAATGGGGGATATGCATTTTCAATAGGCCGTATTTTTTCTATTGCACTAACTTAAGAAGTATAAAATTTGTTTAAAAAGTATGAATTGAAGAAATAACTCAGATATAATATTTGTCATAAAAAAAGACTAAATGCGACCAAAATTGATATAATCTAACATAAGAATCAAGAAAGAAAAAAATATCATTTTTTCCATTAGTATTTAAGATCCATGAGCTGTATGTTATACGATAAAAATAGTTTATAAAATAAATAATAGAGGCATAATACAACTGAAAAATAGCAAAAGAAAGCTACTATAGGCAATCAAAATAAAAATAACTATAAAAAAATAACAATATTAATAATAAGTATTAATTTATTACTATGTTCAAGTTTATAATAAAAAATTAAAACTATTCAAGAATCTAAATCCTTAGTTTTTTCAATCTAATGAGTTTCACAACCTGAGAGAAAGAGATATCAAAGCACTTACTTTCTACAAGTAAAAAAGTCATATTACAATTTGAAAAATATACTACTATTTTTATTACTATGTTCAAGTTTTTAATAAAAAATTAAAACTAATTAAGAATCTAAATCCTTAGTTTTTGCAATCTAATTGAGTTTCACGACTTGAGAGAGAGAGATCAAACCATTTATTTTCTATATGTAAAAAATTCATATTATAATTTTTAAAATATACTACTATTTTATTACTATGTTGAAGTATATAATAAAAAAAATTAGGACTATTAAAAAATCTAAATCCTTAGTTTTTTTTTATCTAATTGAGTTTTATGATGTGCAAGAGAGAGATCAAACCAAATATTTTTTATTTGTAAAAAAATCATATTACAATTTGAAAATATACTACATAGAGATAGAGAAAGACATCGTACCTTTTAAGTCTTTCTTAAAAAAATATTTTAGAGTAAAAAATACTTGTGAGAGATTAATAAAAAAATGGCTTTGAGAGAGAGAGATAAATAAATTGTTTTCTCATAGGAAAAGTTGGGTCGTGACATGCATTTGGGTTGGGTGTGACGGTTGATGATGAGAGAGGATGGAAGAGGTTTTTCTTAAAAAGATATTTTGGGAGGGAGAAATTGAGAGAGAGATTGAAGGAGAAAGAGATGAGTGAAATAAAAGAAATATTATAGGAGAGATTTAAGAGGGGAGGTATTGGAGAGAGAAATAATGAGTTTCTTTATTATAAGTTGTTGGGAGTTACCGAAAGATAGAGAAAATAGAGAGAGAGAGAAACAATTGAGGGTGACCTTTAATTGGGAGAGATTTTAGGGAAATAAATGGAAGAACGATTTATTGAAAAGGGGAGAAAGAGATAGAAACGGTAGAGAGGAAACTATAGATGATATAAATAAGAGAAATATATGGGTTTTTAGTAAAATAAATGGGAGAGAGATTTTAGGAAAGAGGAAGATAGAAACAATGGATAGGAAACCGTATATGATATAAATAAGAGAGTGAATTTAAAAGAGATGTAAGATATTTAAGAAAAGATCTAAGAGGGAGAGGGAGAAAATCGTGTGGGGTGCGGGGAGAGATTTATTAAGAACAAAAACAACGGGAAGGGGGGGGGGGTGGTGGCGGGGGGTGATTTATTAGGAAGGAAGAAAGATGGGACATATGACATAAAACATAAGAGAAAGAATAGAGAAAATGGTGTGGGGTAGGGGGGAGAGATTTATTAAAGAAGAAAAAAGATGGGACACTTCGCAAAAGAAAAAATAGAGGGGTATTGCTCTAGCTTGATATATAAAATATAAAGAAAAAATTTATATAAGGTTGCAACCCTAAAATATAGAATCAAAGATGCACCTAAAATATCCATCATAAAAAGTTGTTTAGATGTTGAAAACTCTCTAATTGATCATCTCGACATCGAGATGTATGAATATAAAAAGAAAAAAGATTTCAAGCATGTAAATAGTGTATCTTACAACACATTATTCTGACTCCATTCTCAAGATTTTCATGTACTTTTAGACTGCCTGATTTAAACTATTTTTAGAGTTTAAAAATTTATAAATAGGGAGGAAAATAAGGTTGTAAGCTTATGCAAACCACACCCGTATGATAATAGATAGATTGTGGCGAAGAATATGTAACCGACAACAGGGGCGAGATCCGTATAAGACAAAAGGAATATCAACAAATCTCAGAATCACGAAATCGATTGGAAGGGGCTTCCTCTTTCTTATGCCTTAAGAATCCAAATCGGATATCCGCCATTCCTGTTCTTGAGTTAACTGCTAGAGAGAATGATAATCTGCCACCAATAAATCTAGAGCGAGAGAGAGAGAGGACATGAGAGCAGATTAGTTGGTGTGGTGGTGCTTGGATGGAGGATTGGATGGGAGGATTGCAGAAAAGGGTGGAGGGTTGGGTAAGGGAGCAGGGGAGGAGGATCAAAGAGGAGGTGGGCTGGCCTCCACAATGGAGATGGCCTCCTTGGCAGGCGGCCGCTGACAGAGAGGAGAAAAGGAGGGCTCGTGAGGAGTATGCGAGGAAGAGGGCACAGCTCCAGAACCTGTGCGCTGCCCTAAAGGCCGACTCCCTCCCCGATATGCAGGACGTTCTCTGCTCAATGGTCCTCTCAGAATGTGTATACAAGGTTCTCTTCATCCCTCTAATTCTTCATTGAGTGATTTCTAAGGTTTTTCTGTTAGGACTTTGCTTCTCCTCTCTTTTAGTAACTGGCATTGCAGTAGAGTATGCGAGATAGTAATTCACTATTCTTTCTCTTTCCAATCGCCCTTCGTCATTTGTGCATGAGAAACAGCGAGATTTGCATCTTTCTTACTAAGTGAGGGATTGATTTATGGCAATCTGTGCATTTGTGTATTGAATTCTTATGTGATTTCGAGTGAAGTTTGGTGGAGTTGCTCTGCAGGTCGAGCATGCCGAGGTCTTGTAACATGGAGCTGTGTGCTTCAATCCTAAGTTTTGGGCTTGGATTGCTCATGATCCAAAACTAAAAGTAAATGAACAGCAAATTTTGATACGACTGAACTTTGTTGGTACAATTTGACTTTTACCTTGCATGGGTTGGGAATAAATTGAAATTGTGAACAGATATTTGTATGCAGACTAGTTTCATTGGGGATTCGTGGTTATCTTTTATGACGCCTCCTGAAAATGCACATCGTCAATCTGTCTTCCATTAAAGCTATCGGATTGTCTACTCCGTTGTTACCTCGTTCATTTCCTTCTCTCTGTACCCATTCTGATTTGTATTGTGGGTTTTAATAAAATCTAGGGTGCCTATTTCTCCTCTCTTTTATAATATTTTTAGTTGTTATCCTTTAAAGATTTCTTACTTGCTCCTGTTTAAGGATTCCATTTTCTGACATACTCTTCTATTTGTGTGATATCTAGTTTTAGTTGCATTCACTGCATTTATACCATATCTTAGCAAATGAGCTTATTTCACGACGGAACTTTCTGTTAGCACAAAGTATGCCATGTAAAGTTCAAACATCATGACAGTATTCTCGCTCTTCATATTTCGTGTGGATTTTCTCTATTATATCTATGAGTCATTATGGATACCAAAAGCTTTTGTTGTTCCCAGAAATTGTGCAGACTGTAACTCTAAAAACTTGCTATTAGGAAAGCCGATATGTAGTGCGAAACTATATCTTTCTCATTATATGGTTTTCAATAATGACTCCTTAAGATTACTATTATTATTGATTTCTTGATAGGTATTATATTTGCTTAAATCATTGTTCCACATGTTTAACACAATGCGTTCATTTTTTTACATAATCAGAGGCCTGCATCTGAGATGATTCGATTTGTTAATAAATTCAAGGCTGATTTTGGAGGTCAAGTAGTTTCTCTTGAGCGTGTCCAGCCATCTTTAGATCATGTGCCTCACAGGTATTTATAACTCGACATATATTTGTTCATGTAACTGTAAGGACCAATTTCTATGTCTTCCTGTAAAGAATCATATTTCTTTTTGTTTAACCCTATAGCTCAAGAACGTAGTCCTTAACCCGAACCCGAATCTATATGGAATCTGAAACAGAATTCCATAAACTTTTCTTGCATTCGGATTTTTATCCTTCGATGAAGTTGTTTTACATGATCAGTCCCTTCTCTGGATTGCAGTTAACTTGTTTCCTTGTAAGTTATTGCATTTATCAGCAATAATCAAAATCATAGTTATTGGACATGTCTTAAAGAGCCTAAGGCAGCCATATCTATTTAAAAATTCAACTTTGAAAATATACTAAAATCTACAAAATATTTTGTGACATATCCCTTGTAAACTTATGGTTTCATTTCTGTCTTGTCATTTTTCTGATGAGTCATTTATGTTATGCTATCATTTCAAGAACTAGTAGATTGAAGCTTGAGGAATGTTCTGCACTTGAATTTCTCATTGTTTTAAGTTTTGTTTTCCGTTTTGGTGAAGTATTGTGTATTACTTGTTGTTGTTCACTTGGAGGTAGGGTAGAGTTGACACTTTTATTATCTTTGAAATTACTTATTTTTGAACCACATTCTTTGGCTCACCTTTGGGGTTGTACAGTTTGTTTTTTGAAATTTTGACACTTGGTATTGCAGCTCGCTTGTTTCTTGTCTATAAGCTTCTTTTGTTTATCTTGTGCATGTAAGAGAAGAGTGTGTGTGTGCGCGCACAGACACGTGTATGTATGCCCAAGTCACTTGGGGTTTGCAGGATGTCGAGCCTAGAACACCCCGAAATTCGGATGGTAATATGATTGATTAAATTTTTATTAATGCTAAATAGTTGATTTATTCTTTGACTAAATCAATTATACCTGAGTTATAATTAGTTTTGTAGATTTTTTATTATCTATTTTTATGATTTTCCTATTTTCTCTTATTTGTTTTTATTTTTGAAAGTTAACCATATTTTTCTCATTTTTATGAGAAAATGATCTTTAAATGTTTTTTCTATTTGTAGAAAGTTTTTTCTCATTGTTTATATACTTTTTATGCTGTTTATATTTTTATTTCTTAGTGAATTTCATATTTTCATTTTTTTTGGGTTTTTTGCTCTTTGGATTGCTAGCGCCGTCTCAGGCGAGTTGAATCAGATTGTTAGTGCAGTCTCAGGCGAGGGAGGGAGGGATTGATCTTGTCATTTTTTGGGTTCAGAAATTACATCATGCAAGGTCAACTTCCATTTACCGCATGATTGCATGGTATAGAACAATTTCCTTGAACGTTTACAGTTGATACTAAAGTGGGCCAACTAGGCGCCGATGGTGGTGCACCTTAAGTGGGACGAGCAGGGCATTCAGATCGCATCTACCCTAAGTGTACACATGGGTGGTGAGCCAACTTTGATAACCATGTGCTAACGTGAGAATTTCTTCCGGAGTTTTAGGCATTCTCCATGGAAATGTCAATTCAGACAAATCCAATGCGATAACATTAAACTAGTTGCCAGTCACAAAAAGGGGCATATGGGGCACTGGAGGAATATTCTTAAGCACTACAAGAAGGTTCTCGCTCCTAGCTAAGTGTAGTCGCATGTTCCCAAGCCCAACAAATGCCTTACTAACTTGCTCAAAATCTTTGACACCTCCACCCCATAGTTCCAAAAGAAATAACTTCAAATTTACTAACTTTACCCATTCTACACTTTGTCACTAACTATCATATCCGCTGCTCAAGTCAAACCATTTCAGAGCACACTAAAAGGCAATGTTCCAAAAAACGTCAAGTAGCACCTAGGTGGTTGAGGGGGTTCTTGGCCTGTCACCAAACCCAGGTGGGAGAATAGGGAGGTATCCAAAAAAAATGTTTTAGGTCCAAATTGTGTGTAAAAAATTATTTTTTATACAGTTCTTATGTTCAATCAATCCAAAATCCAAAGACAAAGCAAAGTATTTAAGATTTGGATAATTCGCTAATAATACATTAAGAAATATAAGAAAATAAAATCCAACATTCAAATTAAGTACTAGACTACTGCACTACTAGTACTAACTACTAACACAACAAGAAGGAAAAATATAATAATCATATAGTAACAAACTCGTTCTAATAAGGGTCACAGGCTTGATCTATTAGATGGGACTCTCGGTAAAAAACAATAGGTCAACAGACCATGTACAAAAAATGGGTTTATAGGATAGTCCCCTTACGAAGTTTACAGTGAGTACACAAAAATTGACCCCTTACAAAGTTTATAGCGAGTTTACAAAAATGGGCTAAGAAATTTGCCCGTACACAGTAAGTTGTACTTGTGAGTTTAACCTCAACGGTCCAGAGCAGCGAGGAACCGGGTCTGGTCTTCGACATGGACCCTAGCCCCGTCCTTCGCCAGGAGGTCGGCGAGCTCGTTTGACGTCCTCGAGGTATGCATCCAGGAGACGGTCATATCCCTGTAGGTGTGAACAATCTCATCATAAATCGGTGCCAGATACCAAGGGGGTGTAAACCTCCTGGTTGCCCAAGTAATGATGTTTAAAACATCACCCTCCACTATTAGGTGTTTCCCTCAAGATCGATCGAAGCTTTGCAAGCCCTTGAGAAGGGCCATTGATTCGGCATATTGGGAATCTTGAATGCCAAGATATTCGGAGTAGGTGAAGAGGATATTACGTTGGTGATCTCTAAATACACCACCTGCTCTTGCTTGGCTGGGGTTCCCCAAGGAGCACCTATCAAAGTTTAGCTTTATGGCTCCGTCAGGAGGTGGCTTCCATATGGTTGATCTTTTCTCCTTCCTTGGTCGGTGGACAAGAATATTCTTCCATTGACTAAGGAAGGAGTTTGTAGGGATACCCTTGAAGAGGTGCTGGTTTGACGCCCATGAGGTTATTGAGGACGTAACCTTGTGAAAGAGGGTTCGGACCACGCAGATTTGTCCTTGAAAAATTCTGGCATTTCTTTCTGTCTAGATTACCTAAATGGTTGCTGCCACCGCTGCCTTCCACAGGATTTTACTGGCCTTCGGCCATTGAGAGGCAAAATCGACAGCTATTAGGTCTCTAACCGTCGGTGGTGTTACCCAGTGGACACCAACCAGTTGTAGCAAAAGGCTCCAGAGGTCGTGGGCAAGGTTACGGTGGATGAAGAGGTGAAGATTGGATTCCTCCTAACACAAACACAAGATGCATCTGTTGGAGATTGGGATCTCTTTCTTTTGTAGGTAGTCGACTGTAAGTGCCTTTTGGGAACCCGCTGTCCAATTGAAAGTTTGCACCTTGGGAGGTGCTGTAGTATTCCAAATCTGGCTAAGAACCGATGGGGGATTAAGTGGAACGGTGGGATGTTGAATGAGTTTCTTGTAGAAGGAGGCCACAGAGAAGACCCCCTGAAGGAGTGAGGGACCATACCAATTGGTCCGTCCTTGTGTAGGGAGGAAAGAATGGTGTAATAGTGGCGACAGGGAGATGAAGTGGTTTGTTTCCTCCTCAGAGAGGTTTCTTCTGAAAGAGGGGTTTCTTTCATCTTGCTCTTTATTCTTTCTTTATCTCCTCTACCCAAAATGTATTTTTTACTGCTTGCGCTGTTTTTACTGAAACCCTAGGATCAATTATTGGGGTTTCTGATATGTATTTAAAAAGAGAAAAACTAAGGTTACTTCCTAGGATTGTTCAATCTAATCCCTATGGTAGTTTCCAGGGGTTATGTGCATGAAAACCCATTTGGGTTTGTGTTGAGTGTGGTGATGCTGCCTTTTTTGTGATTTCTCTTTAGAGATCAAGATGAATAGAGGAATTGTTGCGTAGTTTGGCGGTTTGTGGGCAACTGTGGATGATCCACCAGTGTTTTCTCTTAGGAAAAATTTTCAAGTGTATAGATGCTTCCTAGTCTACTCAAAGGGTGGCATTGTTGTGATGGTCAGGTTTGGATATTGTGGTGTTGCCCTAGTTTGTTCAAGTGTGAGAAAGTGATTGTGATGCAAATAAAAATCGGGGTTTTTTAATTTTTTTATTATATATATATTTTTTAATTTAAAAAAAGGTGTTATTTGAGATTTTAGTTTTCTTTAGGGTTTTTATTGTCTCTTTAGCTGTAGAGATTTAAAGGGTAGAATGGTAAGTTCTATATGGGAGTTGGTTGGGATAGATTTTTACGAGAATATAATTTCTATTTTTGTGGGGAGTTGAGTTTGTTATCTTTTAATAGGTTGATAAGCATCATGAAAGGAAAAAGAAAGAAAGAGACAAGGGAGAGTTGGAAAAGATATCAAACTTTGTTTTTACAAGATATGAAGTTAGAGAGAGATAAGGGTGGGTTGAAAAGGTGGTACGTGGAGAATAGAGAGAGACAGAAAGTTGTTTTAGTTTGTGGGTTTTATTTATTTATTTTTACCTGCATTAGTTGGTGTTAGGGCCCTGAGATTCGTGCTGATCTCTAATAAGAGTCCTAAGATTTGTGTTGATTACAAATAACTGTTGATCTAGTTATGGAGCCTCCAGATTAAATATTTGAGTGATTGGATTAAAGATTTGAGAGACTCCAAGAAGACCTAGTAGAGTGGTTGTGATGAACTCGGGTGGTATGGTCGTTTATTAGAACCATTTCATAATTGGTGTGGTAACTTTGAAGTGTGGGTCCAGCAACATCATGTAATATGGAACTAATGGTTACTGCTGTTGACTTAACATGTTTAAAATATGTGAAGACGATAATTTGCTGCGGGAGTGTATTGATGATTGACACTGTTGTCTCCTCGTTGCCAAAGGGAGGCAAATCCATTTACGTTAGCATTACTTGCATCCAACCTGCTCTTCCTCACCCGAATTTCAGTTGTCAACCCATTCCCTTCTTCTTTGCAATAAAGGTGTGCACTCAAATGGATGCTAAAGTTGTATTTTCCTAGTGAGTATTGGGAGTGGTTTAACTTGGTCATTTGTGTCCCTCATTCCAACCCATATGGTGGTAGT